GAGGCATTCCTAATTAAAAATATAGATTTATGACTAAATAATTACTGTCCAAAATAGTGTCTTTTGACTCTGTCACACTTGACAAGATAGATTGATTGCTAGTGAAATCTAATTCCCAAAATATTAAATCAAATCTGAAATGGAGAACAACATATGCCCTGTATATTAGGTCTTAGGGATAGATCTTAAAGATAAAAGCAATAGTAACAAAAAACTTTAATATAACTTATTTTCTCTTTTTAGTATTGAAGGTGAATATGTTCTTAAAGAAGGTGATCGTGTACAATTCCGTACCTGTCCATTGCCCCCCAAATTAACTGAGGAGCAAGCCGTAGAAGTTACTATCATAGAGTATCATGGTCAGCATGAAAAGTGGTGGAGTGGTAACTAGAATATGTCGTGTACATAATTCCAACATCAAGGTCATTGGTTTCCTACTGAGCATTATACACATCATAACCCCTAGCTTTGAATCATCATAAAGATATTATTATCTGATATTAATTTGTTTCTTTTATTATAATTTCTGGTCTTTTGCTTGTGGCCTCATGAAATTAACTGTTAAAGACCAATGTAGCATTGTCAGTTTTTTTCTGGGCAGCTGGCTCAGAAATATGACAATTAGTGATTGAATTTAGTTGAAAAAGGTCTATTCAACTCTATAGTTCTTTGTCTTAATGATGACTTTGATTGTGTAATGGTGTTATTGAAGTTTTGTTTGACAAAAGATTGAATAGCTTTTCGTTCATTCAGTGTACAGTACATCTTGCCAAGGTGATTGAAAATCATGATAAAGCAATTTTATTTACCCATTGCCTACCTAATGGCATCCGTAAGACTAATCTCTATTTCTTTTTATCTAGACAACAATAACTTAGACTCCTCAACATAGCAAAATAAGTAAAATTTGAAGACCAATGCTATTTACATTGTCCACATTTATGAAGACAAAGTCACTTAAAAGTCAATTAAGTAAACTGCACCCCTTGTTGTCCAAAATATGCAAATTGAATGCTTTATAGTTTATGTTTGTTTTGATTAATGTTTTTCATTTATTTTAACATTAAAGATTAAACTCTGTTAATAAACCTATTTGGGCTTCTTGTATACTTATGTATATTTGAAATTTACCTGTGTCACTCTTGACTCTAGATTCTCATCATTCTTCATGCACATGCTCAAGAAAATGGAGTGTTTGTATATACCATGCAGATGTATCAGATTCTAGCTACCACATGCTAAGGTTTTTCCACAGTCTCTGGCATGTCATTGAACATGCGCAGTAAGAATGATAGGCCTCTGGGGTCAATATTGACATGGTATACTAGCTGTAGGTAATTGTGCTTCTCCAGTCTTTTCTCTTGTCACATTCCCAAAGGAATCCCATAAATCCCAAGACATAACAAGCCACTATTTTCGATTTTTTATAATCACATTTTTATTTAGAACTGTATTTCCAATATATTTCCATGAAATAAAGGTCCATTTTTCATCACACTAATGTACAAATGTACAAATATTTACTGGATATTTTTCCATCAGCTGTATATTTTGACAGATCCAGGAGTATTCTCCTTCTCATCCAGTGTTAGTGCTGTCATGGTGATTCCTTCCCACAGCTAAATATGGATGTGAAGGAGACTAATCGAGGAGAGGATGAAAAGAAAGTTGAGTCCCTGACAGAAGAAAATGGCACGTAGGAACTTTATTTCATTCCATTAAAATCGCCAGGTTCTGAAATAATTTTCCATTAATCCACATGGATGTAACAAATCAATATATTTCTTCAGGCTATATATACCCTAGGCCTGACGTTTTCCATGAATGATGAAGCAAAAAGAGTCTAAAACAAGCCCCCAAGATAAGTCCTTCAAAAATACTGTTGTCTCCTGTAAATTATACGAAATAAATTCTCTTTGGATTTTAATTTATTTTCTTGTAACAATAAATTATTATATAATGCATTTGAAAAACAATAATATGGCAAAGAAACCCGGCTACAAAATTGATACTCGCTGTCACTTCACCTGCAAAACAACATCTCATTTTATTTATCGATGATTCTTTGACTCAGAACGGTAGGAAGCTTATTTTTTAGACCATAAACTTCGCCTATTTTCGTTACGAGACTTAAATGCATCATGGGATGCCTTTGTAACGAAAAATGGTTGCATTTTGTTGTGTATGGATCCCATAGTGCATTGCGCATTGCAATAAAACTAGTTTGAGGCACAAAAATGCGCGCTTGTTTCGCAAAGTGTGCGCAAAAGAACAAATTGCACTGGTGTCTTCCTCTAAAAATATTGTGCAAGTTTTTACTGATTATTTTCATATCTGGGGATGGGGTTCCAAGGAATAAATAGACAGAGTTGTGATTGTGTGTGTTGGGGGGGGGGGGATAGGGTAACATCAGGGGGGTTCGCATTACACCTCCCTGACATCATAATGATCTAGAAGCGACAAGTCCCAACTTATAGAGTAGTGGTAACCAGTGCGCAGACTTCGCAAGGTTTGATTTCAGTCTAGGGGATCCTAAATAAGATTGCTTATATATCACCGGCTATACTGCTGTGTCCTTATATGTGGTTCTTTCTTTTTCTAATATGGGAGCCAAACAACCGTTACATCTCTTAGTGTTTTTTACAGTCCAAGCTCTCTTTCCATTAGTTTCTTTTATTTCATCGTCCGATGATATCTTTCTACGGCTTCCCTTCATCATGGTGACGCTTTGGTTGTCTGTAGTCAGAAACGTCATACCTTGAAGTTTATGAGAACTTTTACGGACTGTTGCATTTACGTTCCTTCTGAAGTTTGTCGTTGATAAAGTATAAAGTATTGGGTTAAGAGCTGAGTTTAAAGGTAGAACAAACACAGCTACCCATGCGTACACAGTAGGGCTTGCTTGCATCCCGGATAAAGACGCAATACCAATAATAATGATAGGAATCCAACACACGAAGTCTGTTAGCACTATGAATACCATACGAGAACCAATAGACGCGGTGGCTGTTTTCTGTCTCGTACCAGTTAATATATTGTTTGTCTGCTTGATTTTGATAAACATAAGAAGATACAGGACAAAAATCCCGATAAAGGATACAAAGTTTAACACTAAAAATACGAACACTGAGTACTCCCAGCCAGCGGGTTTGTCTGCAGTCAGATGCAGAGGTAAGCACACGCCTGATCGTGCATAGAAGTCATGAAAGTAATCTAACCCTGTCAAAGGGATGATGGACAGTAAGAAAGCTAACGTCCAGATGATCGCCAAGGCTTTATACGCACCAGCAAGCTTGAGACTTATGTTCCTCAAAGGGTGAGAAATCGCTACATACCGGTCAGCTGTCATAATAGTTAGAATAAAAACGGATGCCTCGCTTGATAAGGTGGAGAGAAAACCACAAAACTGACATAATGAGCTTCTTTTCCATTCTTCACTGAAGATAAAGTAACGTCCTCTATAGTAGCTATCGACGGACCCAATCACCACTAAATACAATCCCATGATGAAGTCTGAGATGGCCAAATTGAGAAGCAACAACGAGTGCACCTTGCTTTCACTTTTAGTTTTCAATCTCCATATAAGGACAAAGCCATTACCTAATAAGGCAATGGATCCCAGGATCCATATGGAAATTCCAAGCGTTGAATTGGCCATGAGATCTCCGCATGAGGAGAACAAATCCTTGGGTGCAGAGCAGTTTATACCTGACAGTTCAGCTATGCAACAAAACTCAAATCTATCTGCTTCCCTAGAATAATAGATATTTGATTATTAGTTAACTCAACAAGCTTTAAGCCAATAACGTACTTCTGATTTGCTAATAGTCTATCGGATGACAATAAGGAAAGCTCAAGAAGACTACAAAATACTCACAGATAACGAAGATTAGGAATCGGTTCAAATATGTTTTTGGGAAGTCGCACGAGGTCCATATTATTTTTGAGAGATCTGGAAAGCATTATACAATAAAAAGTTGTAAATAAAAATTAACCAGAGAATATGTTGCTATATAGCAAGTACTTACAGTTGCTCTAGAGAGTCCATCCCACGAAATGCTCCGGACTTAATCGATTTTAGATTCAAGCTGCTCAGGTTGCTGAAAAAGAGAAATACGAGATATAATATACGTGTAACGTGTAAAATTTAAAAAGTAAAACAGCTTTTTCTTGCTACATGAGGGAACTTTTTTGCGGTGGGTTCCACGCGGCTTCCTGAGTAGTGCTGCATTATATTGGAATGGAAGAAAAAAGATGAAACTAAAGTAAGTGCGATAGCCTGTCTCATAGACTGGCATTAACTTACAGATTTTTAATATTGCTTAAACCAAGGAACGCATCATCTTCGATCGTTTTGATGTTGTTTTCTTGAAGAAGTCTGGACAATATAAAAACACTATTATTCAAGAAGCCTATCACACAGTTTTTAAAATTGAAAAGATACTAGAATTTTAAGATTGAAACCGCGCACTTTTAAACAAGCAAAACCCAAACCAAACAACAACAACGACAAATCTAGTAAGAAATTAGGTGATTCGTGTTAACCCTTGTGGATCATTGTAGGCCGTTTTGGACAAATTATAGAGTAAATAGCCCACTTCCGGAATATGCTTCGCTTGTCACGCACAAAGGTTTCATTGTAAGACTACGTGCATAATGCTCAGTGATTCGTAACAGGAGAAAAGAATAAACTTTTAGGCCCCGTCCACACGTATCCGGAAATTTTTGCATCCGCAAATTTTTTTTGCGGATACGGGTTGCGTCCACACGTGTCCGGAAATTTTTGTATCCGTATCCGGAAATTTTCGAAAACGGTCTCCAGAGTGGAAATTTTCGAATACGCTCCGAATACGGATACGTGTGGACGGTCGTATCCGCACGTTTTCGAATACGCTGACGTAAACATGATTTTGCGCATGCTCAATAAGAAAAACTGTCCGTCAAAGGGGATAGACATTAGCGTGCATCAGGGTGGATCAAGAAATTTCCGGATACGTGTGGACAGTGAAAACGATTCGAAAACTATTCGAATACGCTGCGTGTGGACGCGAACATTTTCGTATCCGCAAAAATAAATTCGCGGATACCAAAATTTCCGGATACGTGTGAACGGGGCCTTAATTTAGCACGTAACCTCGTACTACTAGTAAAGCCTGTGTGTGTGTGACAAGCGTATCTCAGAAGTAGGCTATTTATCAAGTCTTTTGCATTTCATATTGTACTTACAGTTCCTTTAAAAAACTCAGGCCGTGAAATGTGTTGCTGACGATTATCTTCAGTTTGTTGTCTCTTACATTCCTAGGGGAAAAAACATATTGTTACCCTTGGCAACAGTCGTTAAAGACTGCGCCGTGCTATCTTCTGTCACTAGGTGAGACCCATAATTTTATAGTAAATTTTCTGATACTTACAAGATTTCAAGATTCTTTAACTTGGAGAATGTGAAGGGTAGAATTTCTTGTATCTCATTGCCTTCAAGTTCTCTAAAATATTCAAAACCGATTTCATTATATTATATATCTATATTTCATTATATATGTAGTCGATTATTTAAAACTTTTACAATTTTCTCACATACATACATTTTTCGCAGGGATAGGTATCTGGAAAAGCTTGACGGTCCAAGTCTACTGATCTTCTTCTTGATAATGGTGCTAGTATACAAACAGAGCTGATTAGTCTAAAACAAGAGACTCTAATCCATTTACTTCGTTCATACTTACATGTGTGTCACAGAAACCGGCAGGTATGTTGGAATCGCCGTAATATTCTCTGACCTACAAGTTGCGATGGTTTTGGATTCCAAAGGACCCGCTCCAAACTGTTTCTCCCACTTCTTACACTCAGTTGTCCAACTACAAGCTGCAAGTTAATGGCACAAGATAACTCAGCTGGTATTTAGTGTGACCAGTTTGATATGCACAGGTATAAAACAAAAAAGTACAATTTACCATCAGAGCCGAGGGACTCTTTGTGAAGACACCGAGATTGCACTGTAAGTGAAAAAATAGCATAATGATTGATATACCCTATAAATAAGAGAGGGTGATGTGTGAAAGAGTACAGCGGACTTGGAGTTTTCTTTGCAGAAACAGAAAAGTTGCTATTTTAGAAATGCTACCTAGCTCCATATTTTCGAAGACCTGAATTCTGGACCGAAGAAGTTGCTTCACAGGCAGGCACCCCATGACTCTTCCCTAGAATCCTCATAGCGCATGTGCCTCATGTGCCTAGTCTGGAGACACTCAGTACTGTGAACCGCCCCAGGCCTCTGATAACTTACTTTCATCACTTTTATCTCCGCAATCGTCCTTGCCATCACACACCCATTCTGAAGGAATGCATCTACCATTACGACACTTGTTCCATGAAGATATTTCACAAGTTGTCGAGGAGTCGTCTGTGAAGAAATCAAATCCACTTAATCTGAGTCATTCTTTATTCTTTCGTGCATGTGACGTCATGTCGCCATTTTGGTTTACAGCTTACAACACTGATACTTACAGGTGACGTTCTTGGATAGACATCTATCTTGATAACCGCATTTACGTTTTAGCTTCCATCCAAAAATTTTCTTGCTGCTTGTTGTCGTTATGAGGAATATAGTGCACTGGTACGGATCTATCATTGGAGCTAAAAATATATTAAATGAAAATATGACTGATCAACTACCGGACAAGATGCATGGTATTATTTTCATTCTTCATTTAGAAATGGTGTTTGTGATCCTATTAGCTACAATTTTAATGCTTTGCGATGATTTTGATAGACTAACGAAATTACAAGCCATTGTTATCATCCTTGGATCATAGAACTAAAGCCCGCGGTGCTTCACAATTTCCCTGCTTCCAGAAGCAATAATTAAATGTACTTACGACATCCTAGTTCGTCTGATCCATCAGCACAATCGTCCAATCCATTACATTTATCTTCTATGTTAATACATTGCTTCCACCAGTGATTATTATAGCACTCAAACTTCCCAGGACCACAAGGAACTAAAGACGAAGGAAAAGTCAGCGGTATTTCCCGTTTTCCCGCCATTCAAATTAGTCAAACACGCACGCGTCAGTCGAAGCTAGCTCGCTTCACAAAGAACATGAACAAGAACTCGAAATATCTCCATTATTTTGACTTATTTTAATTGTTTTCTCGGTGAATATTGAAGGATGGTTTCTCATGCATGGTTTGTGTTAGTGGAGGTTACTCTTACACAGTAAGTACGCATTGTAAACTTTAATTTATATGTGGATAATTGTTACACGTATTCGCACATTTATACAGGACTCTGAGCCGAATATTCTTGAAAAGTCATTATAGTTTTTAAAACTTCCTTCTTCAGCTTACTTGGAAATGTTTCACTATTCTTAAAAGTCCTTCGTATTCTGGGCACAACAAATTAAAACTAAAAAGAGCACGGGAGAAGCGCACAACTGATTTTCCTATCAAAGACCAACAAGTTTTACATATCTAGTGCCGCCCAAGTAGCTTAGTAGAATTCYATTCCATAACGTTCAGTCATTTGCAGCCAAATATTTCGAAAAATGAAAAATTACATTCTTGAATGTAAGTACTGTTCTTTCACTCGAAGACTGGGCAAAGCAATTTGGTAGAATCAGAATCGGTAAGCACAAACAGAAAAACGAAAAAATTAAATGTTTACAAAACCATGAGTAGGTATGTTGTTTAGGTCACCCATCCAGGTACTAACCCTGCTCGACCGGGCTTGACTCGGTGTTTTGCAAGCCCAAAGYTTTTCCCACTGGACCACGGTTGCCAAGAAATTAGCACTAAACTAACAATAGAGGTGAAAACAATGCACCGAATAGACTAGTCTTTTTAACTTCAATTTTTCAACCGATTCCGTGCGTGGCAGAGATGCAAGGGTTCAGCCGATATGGTCTGGGGGCCGGCTGGTCTCTCCCCTGATGTTTCGGCTAGAACATTTTCTTGCGTAATTCGTGCACCCAAGGGCAGAAGGATTTAATCGCCGTCAGGTCCGAAGTCCATACGCCGCCTCAGCTCTGCGGATGTCTCGGGGGTATGGCACAGTGGAATCGAATTTTCAATGTTTTGTCGATAGACGTGGGTTCGAATCCCGCCCTTTGCACATAAGATTTTTATATATTTTTATGTCTTTTCATCAGATCAAAACTCTTGACGTTGTCCATCTTTAAAAAAAGGAATACTCAATTTCCGATTTTACGATTTTTGTTTTCTCTATATTTTGCTAGGTTTTCAGTTTAAATGAAAGCGTTAGCCAGTATCGTATCGTGCGCAACCCACCTCTTGTTACTGTAGCCAAGGGATATAATATGCCCTGTGATATGATATGCCTGAGAATATAATATCGCCTGTGATATAATATGTCCTGTGCCGGATATAAAATTTTGGCACAGGACATATTAAAAAAATTTTGTGAGCAAATATTTGCTCACTGATATAAGGCTCAAACACAGACTATGACGCCAACACAGATAGTGTTTTAACATACAGTGTTTTAAAAGGCATTACTTTTTCTAAAACTATAAATAGATTGATTCCATAGGTCGTAGCTTTCGCTCCTTCAGTGTGCTTGGTGGTCGCTTAAGGAAAGAAAATTCGACAGAGAGCGAACTGGTACCGACTTATGCAATCAGTCTTAAACTTGTATAAAACTGTAAACAGGTTACCATTTTCCAAGATACACAATCCACGTTTCTTGTCCCGATCATAGTTCGATGTTACTGAACACCATTTATCAGGATTGAGGCCTTCCTTTTTGGTGCCTTCTATGATACATGAGTTATACGTTTCTCCTTCGTACATAAATGGAAAAACGCAACAAGAACCGTTCCCATTACCTCCATATGTTCTTACTTTACATTCACCTGCGAGGTAAACAGATTCATAGACAGAATTATATCATTGGTGAACAAGTTTTTCGAATTTTGTGTAAAACAAATTTATAAATAAAATGAAAATTTTATATACTTAAAATTATTAATCTTTTTAAATAATTATCATTTTCTAATCATGACTATTATTATTTATATTATTGTTCTGGATTTTAACATCTTCTGATTTGCATAGATGACAGATGGCCTTCTTTCCCGACAATCAGTTTTTTTTTCATCATGATTTATGCTATTTATGTAAACCATGGTAACGCCCCATATATCTCTCTCCTTCTAGTAAATTAAACATACTATACAGTTTCGTTTACCAGTATCATAATACGCCCTGAAGCCGGCCTTGTCTTGTCCGACAGTAGACGTCGTAGATCTAAACACCACCATCATTGCATTACCACTTGACCTAACAGGGGGAGGCATTTTCCAGCCACAAGCGTTTTTCAGAAGTGGATAGCTCGTATTGTCACCATCGTAGATTTTTACGTAAGCACTGTCACATGACTGGTCTTGACTAAGATTGAGATGAGTAAAGTTTAAAGTGATCTGATTGGCTCCCGGAATACGTATCGTCCATATACATTCTGAATTATTCGGATATCCACGTGGAAAGTTCACTGAGGATATCACACCTGCTGGTAATGTTCTGTGTCCCCCGCAGCTGTTTTCTACACAAAATAATTTGAAGAATTGCAATATTCATTCAAACTTCCTTTACGAAAGGTTTAAGAACTAAATGTAAAAACGGTTTTGAAGTTGAACGGAGAAATCCTCAAGGGTACGAAAAATTAAAGTTCGATTCTAACAAAGTACAAGTGCATTGCTTCCGTGTAACTTTAGGAATTTCTCTCTAGATTATCTCCATTATATACTTGAATGTAAGTAATTTTAGCCTTTTTATATAACATGCTCAGAGCGCCTTGCAAAGTACCGGCACTTCCTTGAGCTTTTAAAGCAAAACAAATGGGAATCAAGAACTTCTTCGATTTCAAAAGCCAGGCTCTTTTTTTAAGTGAATGACGTTCAAGAGATTTCAGCTTATGACGCTAAAGTATATTCTAGCAGTCAAATAAGATTTATGCTGACAGAAAAAACGATTAACTTTTAGATTTGTCTATAAAAAAATCGCTTTAAAAGTATTGATTCATAGTGGGTCACTTTTAATACTGATATTTGGTATCGCTAGAAAATGGCAAGGTTGGAAGGAATAATTTACAACTGCCTCAGTTTTTCAAATTACTTTCTTTTTATTTCATGAAAATATGTGGAAAGATGAGAATATTTTATTTCATTTTTTTCTGAAGCGAACTGGTACAGGCAACAGACAGAGTGTAATAACATATCCATTATTTCATAGTTTATACTGATTAAATTATATATACCTGCTCTCATACAACGAAATTTTCCAGAAGGAATATTGCACCATGGGAATGTCCATTGATTCCACCAAATTTCGCTGTCTTCAGGAGAAGCCGTGCACTCGGTATACGTGCGGTTTCTGTACACGAATGGAAAAATGCAGCATTTTCCTTTGTTCGTGTAGAAGGAGCAGGTCTTTTCTGGCTCTGAAGACGTGTAAACTGCCATAAGAAAAAAGAAGATTTATGATATTTATGCTACACAAAACCTTGGCGGGTTTAAGGAACATTCTAGTCGTTATTTCCTAGTCACAGGCTATTTTTACCAGTAATCTCTGAATAACTGTCATCTTTTTCATGCGGGCCATCAGGCTTGCCAACTCTTAAAGCACTCAATCATGAGTTTAATTCTCTTGCTTTAATAACTTTAATAGCCAACCCTTGTGTTTTTAGTAATGGTTCAGAGTGTTTATCAAGGTAAGGTTGAGTGCTTTTCGAGGACACCGGAAATTAAAGTTGCCCCAAAATACCTCCATAAAAACCTTCTTTTACGGTATATCACAACAAACCTTGAAATTTTCCTATATTTATGAGTTAATTTGTTCTTGATTGTCTTCGTTTATGAGATGAATACACCAACTTTTTAATACGTTGAGAAGGAAAAGAAGTCTGTTTTCTTAATGTTGTCATAGTTATGAAAGGAAACGTGCAAAACCCGAATAATTCAAGCCAGCGCAAAGAAGCGTTTTTTTGAAAGGGAAATGTATGTCTCTTTTCTGTGTGGCACCGGCAAGCGACATGTAAATTTATTAGCAATTGGTTTTTCTTCGTCAACTTTTTTATTGCATGGCTCTTCTTATTATTGTTCTTATTTACTTTCGTTTAGTTTTCTGTTTTGTTCTTGCCGGATGAGTAACTTTGGTCAAATTAATTTCTACCCTATATCGACTATAGGTGCAATAAAAAGGTGCAATCAAAGCGGATAGAAAGGACGTGCTTTCTTTGGTTGGTCAGACTGAGTAAATTAAAATGAAATCTATATTTTTATCATCAATAGCTTTTAAACACATAGGTTTGCAGATAAATTATCAACGTTGTCTAGCTCATGAATTTAGGTGTTTTCAACTATCTATTCAGGTGTGGATTGTCGACTTCGTGAAAGACAAGATTGCAAACTTTAATTAAACAATATCCTTTTATCTCGGCTCTTTGCAAAGGTGAAATGCCTGAAATGTAGAAATGACAATCTTTGATTGAATCGCACGAGACACCATGGCTACCAGGTCTCTTGGGTTGATTCGGCTTTACTACCATGACCAACCCTAAACGATTTGCTTTCCGATCGATGAAAGTTAAATTGTTAAATAAATAAACCACGATTATGATTAAGGGCAAAGATTATTAATAAAACTTGTAATATTAATAGTTGTTATTTCATCAAATTGATTTGAAAAGCAAAAATGTTATTCATTTAGCAAGAAATAGGCCTTTTTGCTTAGATTTTATTTATAACAAACAGAACATTTCACTCAGTTTATACTAGCGTCAAAACGTTTATAGAGATGTCGTTTTTCCATAAACTTGGCTTCAAGAAAAGCTACATGAATGGTACAAATAGTACTAATAAGGCATCAAAACATTGGCAATAAAAAAACTGCTTTCTGGCAAAATAGGCCAAAGAAAATGCAAGTAAAAAAATTTAAAAATTGACCCGAAAATCAGACAAAGAATATTGTCATTGATCGCACGGAGTGACCAGTTTGGAGGTAGTTCGACTACTCTTTTAACGTGGTTAGTTGGGCTGACATCTTCAAAATTTAAATCAAATACAGTTTTGTTTTGCTCTTATTAATAGAGTCAATTGTGTTCTTAGGAACAAAAACTGACTAACTGAATACTTAGATAACTGAAAAAAAAGACAAGGCTCTTAGTCTTTTCGAGATAATGCAACATACTCACCTTGGTTGAGTTGAAGAAGGAAGCAAAAGAGCGAGATGACACACGTCGAGTGTTGCTTGAGCATGACGAGGATGGATGATCGAACGTCTTTACTCCGCCGTGATCATGGAACTGTGGAAATAACACAAGAGAACACAACAGCTGAGCCTCAAGTTCATGTCACTCATACCCGACACAACGGAATATTTATAAGCCCTGCAAGATTAGCATTAAGTGAACGTTAAAGAGCTCGTTCACTATCGATTTGAGTTGTTTACTTTCATAATCCACTAGCATTGCAATTCATTACAGGAAATTACGAGAAATCAAAATAGATGTTATTAATTAATTAGATAATACCTTATTGCATCCCTTACGGCTTTCTCAACGTATGTAATTATATGTTATCGATTGGCTGCAGTAATGACAGAAATAATCTAGGAGTTGTCTTGTGTGCGCATGTGTGAGACTATAACAGATAACGAATATGGGTTTACATTGTGTTTTTCTTTTTGACACTACGCATGATAAAGGGTTCTTTTAAACAAATATTCTTATTATCTTCAAACCTACCGACACCAACTTTAGAAAAGCTTTTCTGATCACTTCAGGCAAGATTAGTCTTAAAGTACAATAGAAATACAATATTGAAGTCTATTTGAGGCTTCTGATTTTGTCACTTGTTATCTTGATGAAAAACTGAATTAGACAGAATTAGTTTGCTAAAGTGACCCTTCTTTTTATCCAATGGCTAACTGAACTTTCTGGATAAAATCGTTCCTGTTTGCCCTAGCGATTTATTGTACAAACGATTTATTTCTGTCCAATTCAAATTTGTCATATGATGAGAGTTAAGTTATGTGAATTTTGTTAACACGATGCAGAATATATTTTTGGAATTTATTTATAATGTTTAGGCTTCCTGTCCTCTGAATGACGTCATTAGGACGTCGTTAGTGTGGCATTATCGCGTTCTTCTCTGTGTTTTAACTTTCCCTTTTAAAATCGAGTAAAAACACAGATATATGAAAACCCCTGGGGGATAGGGTGTTAATTGAGTGAGCACTTCGTAATCAACTGACACTGAGTCAGATTCAATTCACTAAGAAACTCAGTAAGACTAGTACTTCCCCAATTGAAAACTTACTTATTTGATACACCTATTTCGAAAATCGTTGTCGCACCAAGAGCCTCAAGTAACAAGCCAAGGCTCCAGAGAACGTCGGTACTTTCAATTATATTTGATTTATTCATGGTTCATGCAAGTGGCTATAGCTCTCCACTAATTATCATCTCAAGCAGCATTGCTTGGAGCAATTCGTGAAGTCAATAAATGAAAATGCACCATGAATAAACTAATTAAGCTAAAAGTACCGGCGTTCTCTGCGGTCTTGGCTTGTTGCTTGAGGCTTTTGTTGCGACAACGATTTCTGAAATAGGTGTATCCCTATAGTAAAGCACCACCTATTTCGATAGGTTAGGTTTCGTTAAATTGTTTGGAAGACCAATCAATCCTATGTATTGTTATTTAGACCAATCATGAAACTTGTCCGCACAAGCGATGAAGAACGCCCCAAGAAATTCAGTTATAAATAATATGGATGTGAGTGAGTGATAGGCAGACATAACGAGGCGACAGCCTGTAGTCCTGCTGCACTAATAAAGTAGCCCTTAGCTAGAATATAAGCAATTACCTAAATGAGAGCAGAGAAATTACTTTTAAGCTCCTTAGATTCTTTGAATTTCTTCCGCTCGCCTATATCTTTGACGTCCATTAGTAATTTCAAAAAACATCATCTTTCATGTTTAAGTATCAAATAGAACGAATAACCCAAGAAGCTCACATTGATCTCCTCCGGCAGGTTTTAATGGATTAAGGGAATGAAAAAACATGTACAGACTGACAAAAAATCATCATCATCATCATAACATTACAAAGCCACTAGAAAAAAAACTTAGAAAGAATCAATATTTTTCTGAGAATTGGAATATTAAATAAATTTTTTGCAAGGATCTTTCGTGAGAGGAATATGTAAATGCGATCATCCGTAAAAAAAACTGAACAGGTGGCATCATCGGCTACAAAAACAATTCTGAAATGAGGAGGGAGTTAAAAATACTAAGCCGAGGACATGGAAAATAGACATAAACTAAGATTACATAGATATACGAGTTTTCTCGTTTCAGTTGTCAACCTTGTATATCTTGGCTAGGAGTTCAAAGCTTGGCCAGCTCAGATAGACATAAAATGCATGGTGTCATGGTTTGACAGGCCCGTACACTGACATTGTGGACAAGAAGACACTTTGATTTGATTCCAAGATGAACATTTTCAGAGGCCTCTACTTGTTTGTGAATCATAAACAACTAGATTTGTGCAGGGCCGAGGCTGTGATCAGTGATTTTCTTCAAATCGGTCCGGCAACATCATCGCCACTAACTACACGTTTTAAATGGAATACAAAGTGGATCATGAAACATTAGCTTTGTAGTTGTAAACGTGCATTCTTATAATTCAGCAATCTATAGCTGTTCAGTATAACTGACTGACGATCACTACTCACAACACCGCACGAGGTTTTTTCTTGCTAACCGTATAAATAATGAGAATGTTTTAACTGTTTTACTTTGAGGTAGAGGGTGCCCCTTCGAGCGCATTAAACATGAGCCCTTGGCTCGGGAGAATTGGGCAACCACTCCCCGCGTTATCGAAGTAGGATAAATTACCTTTACCTTACCTTTTCATTATCGGACATTGAGTATTGATACTTGTGCTAGTGTGTCCTGAGGTAAACTTTTTAAAAGACATTGACTCAGACACATGAACATTCCACCCCCAGCACGTCCTGATTTAATATAATCATGTCTCATTAGGAAAACTAGTCTCGTGTGTTTTCAGTAAGCTGACCAAGTGGCCCCTTATGATTCTGCATCAATTATTTGAATAAATTTCATGTTTAGACCACTATACTTCTGACCGGCTGCACTTTGTCTGCCAGTTCTCAAGTGAATCATATATTTTGATTGCAATATGTGTCTGTTCCTCCAGGCAAATAATTATATATTTTATAATATTAAGTGAGTGTTGAACCGTTAAAATTTTTATCAAACTTTAAATTTCATTTCGTTGTACAACGTTGAAACGTCGTCACATTTTTAAAAATGTTTTTATCGTTCAATTTTATTATAAAATTTCATTTCATTTCATTTTTTGTTGAATCATGATATATCAGCCTAACAGTAAATAAAGAACTATGCTCGTAAATAGCACAATAGGAATATATGTACCCACACCGTTGATGGGCGAAGATGTGGTTTGTATAAACTCCTCGTTATAATACTGAAAACATACAAATCCCGCAAAAAATCCTCAAGGCTTGTTTGCTTCTGATACATTAGAAGTACTATGTTGCCTTGTGACAGATTTGAAGTTAAATAAAAGAAGTTACGAGGTTATTGACACTTGCACGAAAATTAAAAGGTATCAACGAAATTTATCGCCAAGTTTGAGGAATACTTTCCAAAAGACATCCGGTTTTCCTATCTTATATTACTCGGTATTTGTTCACTTTGCTTTGTAATGAAATGGAAATCAACAACCTTTCCATTTCCACCCGAAAACTACTAAAAATTACTACAGCTTTTTCTTTTGAACTGTGTTTAAGTTAATGGCTATTTTCGGTACCTACTGAATGGCCATAGAAAGATAATCTTACATTAATTAATATGACAATTAAAACACAATAAATAGTACGATTACGGCAGTGGTTATTTTTGCTTTTACTGCGCAATACTGTTCTATTTCCGTTTCGCAATGTTTTTTCCTCGCCTTCCGCAATTTCCATTTCTCTTTACCCTGGGGACAATTCCAAGATTTTTGATTTCTAGCTATGTAATCGCAACATTCTTCAATATTTTTTATATTGATTCGTACCCGGCAGGGATTCCTGATGATCTTTTGAGGGTCSGGGGCGAAGATCATTAATTTAATTTACACATCCACGGAAAAAGGTGATCTACCTTATACTCTCATCCAACTATTACTGTATATCCGGCTTTGATAGTAAGGGTAACTACTCGTGTATCATATTACTAATAATCATAAACTAGGGTGTTCCACAGGTTCCAATCTCGGGCCATTAAAATTTCTTGTGTTTTATTTTTTTCCAGTAAGAGAAGTGTCGCTCGATGCTGCTGGCGAAATGTGGTCATCTTCGAAGTTAAGCACAGTAAGTGTAACAGTCCCGCGGCATAGCTTACTTTGATGAGTAAATAGTTATTATATCAAGTGTAATACATTTCGTTTCGCTAGTATTTGAAGAGCTAGGTTGTTGAAACATATGGAAAGATGAAAAGTTCAACAAGTTTTCTTAATGTTTCATTTGAGAAGGCTGTTTAGCAGACGTATATATGATATATATATATACGTTCCTTGTTCGAGAACTCATAAAGATAGGACAGCTTATCGTTTAATGTACGACCTTGAGTCAAGTACAACCGATAGAGCAAATGCGCCTGCGTAGTCCAAAAATCTGGCTTGTAAACTTCAGCTTTCATTTTTAATAGAGGTTGGGTTTAATAATTGATGAACCTGCTGCTTGTTTTCTACAAATATACTGAATTCATTCCTTAATTGCAATTAGAAACCATGCCAGAATTTCTTTGGCAACATTTTGAAGCTTGGTCGGTGTGCTACGTGAGGAAAAGATTGATATAAAGATGYCACTATCCAACGTTCATTACCTTAGGCGGTTAGTTTTAATGCTCTCGTCTCAAACCAACAAAAACAAAACATTTGCTCTTAATAGCTTAAGTAGAGCACTACAAGACGATTTTCATTAGCTTTAAACTGAAGTAGGTTTTCAAAATAAGGAATACTGAAAAACACATTTCGATTCAATTCAATAGCAAAAGTAATTTTTTTGAATAGGCTCAGAGCAAAGTAACAGATCTCTGAGCAATCTCTTGTTATCTGTTTTAGTCGATTTAATCAGGACTTTCAATTTACTTTTATCTTGAAACATTGAAAAGGAACTGAAATCCGATTATCAAAATTACCTTTACCCTCTATTAGGCTCATCAAATTTCTCCAGCCTGATGTTGTGAAGCTTGCCTTTGTGAGTTATAATGGCAGTTTTCTTATCATCAGCCAATTAATGTTCAATTCAAAAAATAATAAAATTCCAGGCGACGTTTTAAAAAAATGTCTTGGTTATTAGCTAAAATCATTGAGATAATTAAAAGAGTTACATTTTTAATTCGGTTGTATTTTAGTCATAGATAAGTGATTTAACAATGACGGCAAAGCTGGCTAGTCAGTTGCGTAGAATATCATATTTTTGTTGTGTGTGAGTAAGTGAGTTAGTCGCGGTCAGACTTGTATTTTATAGAGGTAATGGAGATAGTTGTCCTGATGGATCAACATTTCGACATATCGGATAATAACTGTTAATGAGTTGCGTATACAGGTGCTGTCATTCCTTACAAGGACGAATATTTCTTTTTTTCTTTTTGCACAAGAAACTCAGTCAGGTATCTATTTCATTTCCCTTCACATTAGAGAGAATGAGAAATATATTTTGTGTTCGTTCTGTCGATGTGAGAAGATTTATTAAAGATGGTAAATTAATTGATCGCTATTCATTTCTAAATTCGTCTTACTAGTTCGGTGGCAGGTGAATCAAGCACAAGGCACGGACCATAGGACTTTTACAAATGTTTGGCTTTCACTTTTTTTTTCCTCATGACATCTTCCTACTGTCTTGCAGGGGAAGGTCTCGTGTTTACCGTAACATACCCTACCAGATGTGACTATAACTGTAATGAACAAGTATATAAGCTTTTCAACAACTTTATACAATTCTTAGTTGTATACCATACCTTTTCTTATAACTGCTGTTTCTTGTTTATTCATCCATATAATCGTTCATTTTTTCATTCATTCTCTTTGATGGATAGCCATGCTCTCAACGACTAGTGAGAACATAGGAATGTTCTATGACGATCGTTGAACCTCGAATTCCGGAGAAATTAGTAATGTTTTGACTTAGCGCATCCTTTCGCCTTTTAGAGAATTTATTGTTGCGATTGTTCAGCACAAGATTATTGCTTTAATATGTTGACACTTCTATGACTGCCTAATTTGATATCACGTGACATTTGACCAATCACAGCGGTAAAGTGGTATGACTGTTGGTAATCACTCATTAAGACCTTTTAGACCTAATCAATTTGCAATCATTAGTTTTAAAAGCTGACAGAAAGGTGACTCTTGACCAATTAAAAATTCTTCTTAGATTCAATGGTAAACATTAAGAAACATTTACCGCTCTTGAGGCTCTTTTACGAGTCCTTCACAAATAAAACTCAGTTTTACACATTATCAAAGGTAAACAGGTTCGAGCGCACGCTAACAAAACAACATAATTTATGTTTTCGTAACTAATTTAGTCTAAGAAACTCCAAAAAAGAAATATTACCTTAGTTTGCTTTGTTCAAAGGAGGGACTCGAAGTATAGCATTTCCGGCGATCCCCGTCTACGTTGAATTAAAATTGCACTTACAGGGGAAGCGCGCACGACTAGTCAACAATATTCATCGGTTAGTTTTCTCTCATGATAATATTGGGATAGAAAAAACTATAAAAAATCGAGCCTTTGGTGACCAACATATTACCCGCGTTGAGCGAGTGTCACTGAAGAATACCTCTCAGTTCATACCGCGTTCATTTTGATATGAGCCAAGCTGTCTTTTTGATATTACCTTCAATGGGAACTGAAATGGACCGGGTTGTTACAAAAGAACTTTTTTATGGTAATAAGTACTGCATAGTATTATTCGTGAAACATGACAGTTTGAGTCCTTTTGCCCTGCATTATCTAAACCTCAATCTCTAATAAATGGTCTTAAAGCAAAAAAGATTTTAAGAAAAATCTATTTAGATTTGTGACATAATCGTGAAGGGTTCTTAGAATTCAAAATGCATAAGAGTTGACTCACCAGCCCAGACCGATGCGCGCCGTAGAGCTTGAAAAAAAACAACAACAACAACAACGAAAGTATGGAAGTAGAGCGTACTTTATGCCCACATCCTCACATGCGATACATCAAACATGCATTCAGCGCTGAGATAAAAGTATGGTAATTTCCTACAGATATCACAGAAAAAACTGTAACTGCATATAACATGAAATTCCAATGATAACTAACCACCTATTCTGTCATGAATCGTGTCATGTTCAAGATGGCAGTAACGGTATAACTGAACTTAAAAAAAAAAAGCTTAAGTTCGCGGGTCATCGAGTATGAAATGTCTCATTGAAAAAGGTATCTTTATCCTTTGAGTTTGTCACTGGCGTCTTTCAGTCGTTGCTTGGTTGTCAGGCACACGAAAACGGCGGGAGATTCGGATACTAGTATGAGTGGGTGGAGCTCGCAGCAGACTTTACATTTCTTCTATACATCGTTAGTTGGGCCAGACCTAAAGGTATTTATGATTGACTTGACCTCCAACTGACATACCACGACTGACTCAATTAATGGTGTACCGTACTAATACAACATTTCTTCTAATATAATGACTGATATTACCTTATTACTCTACTCTGTCCTCGATAAAGCAGTTTATATTTAGATTCGTATCAGTAAGACATCCTGTCAAACAAAACATCATGTCTTTTTCTTTTTAAACTCAGTAAACCTACATTCTGTCGAGTCCTGGTAGGTCAAAAAAGACGACATATGTTTCGTGATGAAAGAAAGTTTTTGAAAAGTATTATACTGAGTCGGCGCCAGAACCAGATTAAAAATCATGAAGCCTTATTACGGATCGTAATCGTGACTTGACCGGAATAGAAACCAGACAAATATTACTCTTGTTTGTCTCAAAAAATCCTGTTTATGACAGTCAAAATCTGAGATAATGAATGCATTACAAACGTTATTTAATGCCTCTGTCTTGGTAGCTTCAATTATTAAATACAATAAATATAAATATAGCAAAATATTTTAAAAAGCGGAGAAGGAACAAAAATCAAGGACTTTGTTGTTTCCGCTCAATCGTTCTGCGCCGACAGATATTTTTGATTGCTATTTTTTTAACGAAAAAGCGCGGTTCCTTCTCCGCATCAGTAGTACCTCTTTCAACCAACTAACTCACTGTTGTTGTAGAAAGTGTACTTCGGAAATTCCATTTTTTCCCCCAAAACGAATGAAACCAATTAATTGCATCTGTTATCTGCCCATGAGTGATATTTTCTTTTATTAACTCTCTAAAATGAAAAATTTAATGCAACACAACAGGAAAATGATCAAATGCAACTGAGATCTTTATCGAGTTAACTTTATCTCTTTCATTAAACTACTCTTTAGTTTTGTTTTCTCATTAGAAACTAAAAACAAAGTATAAGTCTAAATGATATATAGAAAAAGATCTTAATCACTCAGATATTTTTTAACCAATCAGAATGCAAAGGCGTCAGATAAATGCAAGGCGTCAACGTATTTAATTTTTTAAACCACGATCATGACAATGTTATAGAAGGTACGATAAGCCGCAGGGTAGATAGTAAATAACGGTGTTAAGTCACCATTATCTCTATTCTTTGATGAAACCAGGATAAACCTTGCACGCAAGACACACTGGACGAATATTGACCGTGTCAGTGTTCATGTAACATGATTTCAAAGTGCTATGCGGCTTTTCGAGTCAGCTTGTATTGCTTAATCTCCAAAGATGTGACAGTGTTTGCTGGGCCGAGGTGCTTAAAGACTCACCGCGTTCGTCGCGTATTGACAAAACGGGAAAAGAACGTTTCACTGATTTAGTTTTTCATTAAAAATAACCAACATTAGCCCAATGGTTGTATGACAATGACCTTCCTATACTGAAAACAACCGAATGATTGCCTTTTGAAACAGAAATAACATCAAAAATATCTCAGTGAAAGAAGAAGAGTAGAGTAAGATTTAGCTTAGATGAATCAGTGATAGGCTTCCATCGAAGTTGTCTTCACCTGTTAATTTTTTGATCGACGTCTAAAATGCAAATTTCTTAATACGGGCAATCTTTGACACACTGTCATATTGACATAGCTAGTCAAACAGAAATATTATCGTTCGTATAAACACACAAATCCATCTCTTACCTGTCTCTCACTACCAATCGATGCAGTAAATCTTGATCGATTTTTCAGATGGACGATAGTTGCCAGTGCCGATAACTGTGACGGCTTTTTGCAGTTCACTGATTCTGACTACCCTCTTGAAAGCTGGCCTGGATAAGTATCCCAGTTTGTTGGCTGTCTTGTATGACGCTACTGGACGAGTCCCTATGAACAGTTCCAAATAATTAATAATGATTAAAAATTATGCCTTTCTGTATATAGTAGCCGTGATGAAAAACATTGAAGTTTTGTCTTGAAATTAAAATTATAATAATTAAAATCATTAATCTTGTTAGGTAAATCGAGGCCAGAGCAACCGAGTTATCAAGCTGAGCATCACGATAAAAAAAACTAGCGTTGTGGAAGATTGTCAAAAGTTATCGAACATTTTCCTTCGCGCTTCCTTGCGCCTCATTATCAGCCGGAATATTTCTACTGTGTATAATACATATTTATCCACTGAAAACTCTCGTAGAAAATCGCTAGTCGGTCTCCTCAACATGTAAAAAGAAACCCAACGATCAGGAACTTTAGCATAAAGTTAACCGTTATAAACAAAAAGAAGTGATTTCTTTTAATTTTTAAGTTGGTCACCTCAGTTCCAAATCATCAGCAGTTTAGGCGGCGTACCCGACTGAATCCCATACGAACCTGCTGTTTGTACGATACGCGGTGGATATGAATACAGTATCGGTGATGGCTTGCTTTCATTTCCTTAAAATGACTAATATCTTAAGTAAGATATTGCAGTAAAGATAAGATAGATGCAGTATGTTTTTAAATGTTAGAGAACTAGGGATTACCTTTAACATCCGGACGTGAGCGGATCGAGTTTCGGTGGGAAATCCTTTTTACTTTAAGTCAGTCAGTTAGTATTAATCATACAGCACACCCCCGCGATAGTCAAACTTGTTCTTCGATTCGCAAAACAAGAGAAAACAACTAGCAACAACGAATCGAGTGGTAAAAGCAATCTTGGCTTGCGACAGGTTTCAAGAGGGTGTATTTATCCAATGAAACACCGTGTGAAATGTGTAATTTACATTAACAAACTAGGCAGACTCGAATTGTCTTTTTTTCATCAAGTTCTGTTGCTTGGTTGATTATTCGATGGCCAGCCGACACTTTCACCTGAATCCTGTCATGTGTCATGACTGACTAAACCACCTATCAAACTACTTCTTTTCACCTGTTCTCGTGTTTTGCAGTTTAACTGTCTCGTTTTGCTCTCAAATCCGCTCGAACTCGTATCCGCTTCTTCATTTACAACACTTGCCGTTACCTTGGCAACGATCAAAACCGCCCTTCACTATTCAAGTACTAAACTTTAAAAACCTTTAGAAGCTAATAAGTGTTGGGAATTTGGTTTAATTGTTTTACTGAACCCGGCTTGGCTAAAGTTTTCATTCGTTATTACTGAAGTTCTTTAAAAATTGCCAAGTTGTTTATTTTGGCAAGTTTGGCGACGGGCTAACTTTTCTTAAATCAATTTTAGTATCATCTCACGTAAATAAAATTTAATCGAACTGAATTTCGTTCGTTCGAAGCATTTTAGATTTATTTCCTCAAAATCCCATATCCGTTCTTATCTCGCGGGAATTAGATTAGAAGCGAAATTCACAAAGAAAGAAATGATAAGAATTGATAATTTAATGATGAAGGTCACATTCAAAAATTCAGCGCTTACGGCGACTCGAAGTGATCTTTTGATTAAGTTGCAGGCATTTTTGTGCTGAACATCACTGAACCTTCTTCGAATTCTAGGTCACAAACACCTTATGATCATTTTTATTTCTTTTAAATTAGAAAACGAAACACTGGTAAGCAACGGTTGCTTGGATTGGATATTTGATGACTTTATTATTTTTTCCAAAAGAAAAAAAACCGAAAAAGTGGGTTTTTTAAATCTCTATTATCAAACATTTCAATGACCGACTATGGATTTTCACTGAGCCAGAGCTATAGGAAATGGGATTTCACTTGTTAGTTAACTCAGCTCATGCATCTAATCAGTGTACATGTTTCTTTAGCCATTTAGAGATAAATAACTTTGTTACAGCTGCTTCCACACCACTCACATATATAGACACACACATGCATATATAGGCTATATACATAAATACATACACACGTATATATGTATATATATACATATATATTATATATCTTCTTTGGTTAGTCATGGTCGAAGGATGTTTCCTAGGGCATCATGAAAGAACACTGCCGACCTCAGGCGACTTGTTCAACGGCCTTAATAGTTCAGTTTGACTACAACGTAACTACTTGTAACTAAATAAATAAAACAACCTATCTTCTCTTGTAGCGAACTGGTTCTGCTTTTCTTCTTGGTATATTGATTCACTGACTGGGTGCACTACTGTGGATAGCTCTCACTTAGTTTTCTTCCACAGATCAGTTTGTACATTCACCGCACAACATTCTCTAGTATCTTTGGTGAATCTGTTGCAAGAATTTAAACCACAAGAGAACGGTTATCGATAGCTGAACTGCCGGATTCACTGAGATGATTGATTTGAATGCTACTAATATAGTATTCCCCACCCACCCCTTCCCTGCTGCTCTAACCTGACAATCAGTCGGTAATGATTGTTCAGAATTGCGTCCAAGTAGTTAAACGAGTAATTATTTCTGTTTCCAGAAATATTACGTATAGCAATATGATAAGAAGACATTTTACAGGAAGCCGCATAAGAGATTGCTCATAATATTCCAAGGTTAAATCCTGTAGTATTACTTGCTAGGTAGTCAGAAGCCTATGTACACTGTTTGGCGCCGGTAATGACTTGTGCCGCATCCATTATTTGTGTGTTTTGCTCAACCGAAAAGAGAAAAAGAGAWATTACAGACTTTAACGGTCCACTCAAAGAATATATCTGATTTAAAAGCGGAAGCATTTTATCATCCACTCTGCTAAGGATATATGAAGCCTGTAAATGGAAGATTAAAAATTTATGTGTTGTGAACTTAGGCTAGACGAAGAGGATAAAACAAAAGGAAACTATTGAGAATTAATAAGTTAAAAACGATGGAAAAAACAAACAAACCGAAATAAATGTTAAAAGTAAAAAGAAAACTAAACTATTGAAAAAAATTGAATGAATGAATGAATGGTAGGAAGCTGGACTACAATCCGCACTTTAATGGAGCATTTATCGATAGACCAGATCTCACCGGCTCTAGACTATCATATTCGTTTGACGAAAAGTTTTCTTCAAACAATTACTTCTTTTAAGAATAAGTCTGATTCGAACATTCCAGCGTCTTCCTCGGTAAGAAGACTAGTTACATCCGCTCATTCTATGGTAATGGATTCAGCTTGTTCAGTTTCGCCACTCCTTTATAATCTTATCAGTGCATGTTAAAACACTGAACTAACATCAAAGGTTTTAGGGCCGGTAGTTCTACCACTTATCCGGCATGCGATCTGCCTGTGGATCGAAGTCTCTCCCATAACAAGTCGTGTGGTTTATCGGTCGTTATCTTATTTAGGTGACATGATGTTTGGTGCTTGGCAATATATTGAAGTACTATGAGTTTTTCTCTTGTCTTCCTTTGTATACGTGTCTTTATTACATACAGTTATGTCACTTGCTTGTGAGTCAGTGAGTGGTTGTGATGATTGTATATCTTTTACACGTAGACACGATGGCTATAATGTATAGTGTTGCACTAGCAGTATTGTACATCATACTCCGAATGCGGTATTTTGACCATGTAAAACCGATACTAGCCTTCTTGGGTGGGCAGACCAAGACAGTTGCATGTCGTGGGGATACCGCTGTACATGAATAATATCGGTGTCATCTCCATATAAGTACATATACTAACTTTATACCCAAACTAAAGGTGACATCTCTATCCCTTTGTTATCGATTACACAACCAACATTAGATTAACACGTGAGCCCGGGGGTGAGCGGAACTCTGGGGTAAAAGTGTCGGGAAGGCACAGTGGAAAGAAGATACCGYAAGTCTTTCTTAAAAGGGCGTGGCTGGAAGAATTTTAACCCCTGCRAGATACCACACAAAAATCTTAAATGGATTTTGAAATGTTTACCTAAGTATTATTCTGAGTACTGTATTATAAGCTCCTAAGCTATGCGTAATTATGATACAAAAAGCGATGGGCTATTTTTTTTTATATACCCTAAAAGATACCAAGAAGCAGCCAAAATTCTAAGTTTCAATTTTTACACCTTAAAAGATACCAAATCGCTAGTAATTTTACACCTAAGTGATACGACGATCATATCCGATACATTTACCCCGGGCTTCCCCAAAGGTGTGAGTGAATGACCATGAGGTGCCAGTGCAGTGTCCTATTGTTCCTCATGATCACAGGCTGCAGCTGGACCACGAGATAGATAGCAGTATAACCAGAAGCAAATCTACTGATCTATCTTGATAGTAAAACGGTTATGTGTCTTCTATTTACCGTACAGTAATATACAATAGGAACTGGAGGGTGAAGGATTATACTGTTTAATTAAGGCTTATATATAACTTTGAAGTTAGGCCACTTAAACGTTAATCTTACTGAAGTGTGGACTTTTACCATGGTATATCAATACCCAAACGTATGATTGTGGTCTATTTATATCTACTCAATACATGCTGGCTGACTGTCTGACCGGCTGGCATGCGAAAAAAGGTTCAAGATGGTCTCCAACAGGGGGTTTCATTTGTAATTTAAACTCGGCGAAATAAAGTTAAGTGTTTTTCATTTGTATGGAGATAACTAACATGTCTGATATTACTGTGTAACTTACAAGTGACAATGTACACAGAGGGTAAATGTCCTCCTTCACAATGCTTTAATTTTGGATTTCAACCTCCACTTCCACAACCCATCCATTTAATATCCCATACACTGCAAACATTATGCTCTAGAGGTTTCCCTATTTCTACCATCTTGGTTGAGTTTAACAAAAGATTTGTCGTTTATATATGTTATGGCTGCCATGACCATATTTTTCATTGTGTTGGAAATGTTTTCAAACCAGCTACACGACTACATCAGCGCGGAACACAAACGGGAACTAAATTAATATCGAGTATATTCAAAGATACAAATGTGGTAAATTAAAAATTCAAAACAAGATCGCTCTCATTTAGCTGACCATATTACCTGTACGAACTATTCATCACTCGTTGACATTCCTTAATTTCACTATTTATTTATTTCGATGCAAATTTTCAGTATTTGGCTTTGATCATTTTTTTCTGAATGGCTTCTGTTTTTTATTTTTCATTTCAACTTTTTCCTCTTATTACTTCTAGTGGCATTAAAGAAGATTTTCTAATATGAGTACTGTCAAGAGCCGAAGCCTTTCCTCGATTTTCCTGATCTGTTATTTCCTTACGAAATAGTTTCATTTCCTTAGTTTGAGATTATCAACAATTTGTTATTCGTCTTTTCCAGTCTAGTAACGAATGGTCAGTCAAATGTGTCTCGAAGTTTCCTAGTCGTCTGGAGTAAGTTTGAACAGAAGCCTTCTTGATTTTGGTTTGTCTCTATGTTAATCGTAAACGCATATTCCATTTCAAAAGCCGGCGATTCGATTGATTTCTGAATGGTAGCTGGCTTTATATTTAACATTAATATAGATGAATAAAATAACCTTGTACATACAGACTCTCATAAATGCATTAGCCATTTCAAGTACGTTTCTCAGTTGTCTGGCACTGATCTTATTCAGTTTAGAACTGAATGAAAACTTCTCTCACCTGTTATACTGCCTGCTATCAGGCGTCATTTAGTTTGATCAGTTTAGTTATTGTGACGACAAACATTTTTATAAAATGGAAAAGAAAAGTTACTATAAAAAGTGGTGAATAGAGGAATACACATATCAGTAATGGTGGGCAGTACAAGAAGACAGTCCGCTTTAGGTAGTTTTGCATATCATACCTGATAGACCTGGGTTTTGTTGAATGAAAAGACAAAAACAACGACACCAAGAATAAAATGATTAAACGGTCGAGAAATAACACACCATCATATGGCAGGCCTTTCTCATTYGAACTGATGTCTATAAGTCCACTCAGAGGGGTGAGGAAGGGCCAAAATTGTCATCTCACTCAAGTAGCTGATTATTTTGATAAATGAGAAAGGAAGTATCCTTATCCGAAATATTCTTCCTGCACCAAAACCAGTGTTTCCAGCATTGGAAAGTTTGTTTAGCAGCTGCATTTATTATTTGTTTAGATAAATGAACAATATCAGTCATCATTTTAATTGCTCGTAGTCTTCTCGAGCGGCTTAAAAGGCCGATATCAATGACTCACCGCCCTTCAGCCCTGATTCCAAGTATAATCACCATAATATAATATTTAGCAATGAGTCTAAACTAATTAATGTAACTAAACTAATTGTTTTGTTCAAATCTAACCGAGTCGGTCAAATATTTAGATGCAAATAAGTCTTTAATTAAAGTTAAACTGACTTTTTTGGCTTTCAGGAATGGACTATGAGTAAATAGCCAATGAGACCAAAGGCCGAACGGTCTATTGACTCATCGGCCATGAGAGCGAGAGGACTAATTGTTTTAGTAAAATCTAACTAGTCGGTCAAATATTTAGATGCAAACAAGTCTTGAATGAAAGTTAATTTGTTTTTTTTGGGGGGGCTTTCAAAGCCGGCACTTTTCGCTACAATAACTTATAGTCTAGTAGTAGCTCATCCAATCAGAATGTAGCATTGATGATAGACCGCTAGTTGGATTTRACTAAAACTCAATATCGCGGCTTCCTGAGTTAGTAAATTCTACTGCTATTACCACTGATAACTGAATCTTCTAGTAAACTAGTATTGCACTGTCGGCACGTACAACAAACATCAAGACAGGCAGCCAGAGTATTCTAACTTGAAGAGCCGGAATTATAATACGACAACTGAATTATGCTGTCAATCTCTCTCTCTCGACTTCTCTTTCGGTCATTTTCACTCTTGTATGTCATCTCATTAGGAGGTTAAAGAAGAAACGGGAAAGGGCGCTGGTTAACTGGTTTTAACATGGCCGTAAATTCCAATACTATCCGGCTGTGACTGAGTTAGCCACGCCCTGCTTCAAACAGAATATCAAACTAGCTAACAATAGTTGTAAGGTGCACACAGTAAAGTGTGTTTTTCTTAGCTAGGCTCCCCAATGCTTTGTATTCACTGCTAGTCAGTTATTGACATAAGAAAGATTGTGCGATTAGTAATAATCCTAATATGGTACTTACTAGTATAGACGCGAACGACTTGTCTCCAGAGACTAGCTTAGTGAAACCTGTGGTTGGAACTGGGTTTGTTTTATATACTATCGCAATCACAAATTTCGGAAGAATGAATAATGCAATGAGCTTAGCCGATTTGTGAAAAACTCAAGTGTCTGAATGCGCATTTTCAACGCTTGAAACTAGCTCACACTACAGACTCACGCTAAGACATGACGGCGGCTTTAGTTGAAAAACGAGCTTTCAAAAGATTTTTTGAAGGGTTCAAATGCCCTCTTTGAAAGATATTTGTGGGAAAGGTAATTTGTACGTGAATTAGAGTAAAGTACTAATTGTTAGTGATTGATAAGCTCAACTGGATATCGGTCATAATAACAGATGGTGCATGGTTGTAGCCTTCATGAAAATGGTCAGTCATCCCAGCAATCTTGAAAGGAAGTAACTATCGATCCGGTGACAAAAGCGTACCTATATATATTAGCAAGAAACGTATCCAGAGAGTTTTTTAACACACTACGATAAATAGGTTTCCAGTTATGGTTACAATTACTCATAGCGGACACTTTTTGAGGGCCACAGGTTTGTCAGTTTTTAGTACTGTTACGTGTTTACCCTCTTTAAATAAAGTTTATTGATTGATTGATTGATTGATTGATTTGTTTTCACATGGTACAGTATGAATTTTTTCTCGTTTTCAGTCATACTATATGCAAAACGTCAGCAATTAGAAAGCACAGTCTAGCGGGTGGACACCCTACAGTCTTCTGTTTTCTTTGCCGGCGGACTATTAAGCTTCATACCATTAGAGATTCTTTGCTATTGATTAATTAGTCAAATGCCGAACTACCTGTCTGAGCATGATATGCATTAATGCTGTCTCTCGTTTGGTCGAATCATTTCCCTTAGATTTTCAGTAGTTGGTTTAAATATGATACGATGTCTTTTATTGGGTGTTAAGTTAAGGCTAATGTCGTGGAAATCAAGAGGGCTCCAAGTCGTCTATATACCGAATACAACGCACTTATCATATCATTCCTTTTTCACTATCTAAGTCGCGTATTTTACATCTATTAGCTAACGAAACACTAAAAGCCGATAACACCCGTCGATAGTTTTAGTAATATGGTTAAAAAAATTGTTTGCTAGTAAATTGCTTAAAACATTGATCAAAGAGGTCCGCCATTTAGTTATCTCTTGTAACGCGACTTGATCTATGTTCACTCATCAATATCAGTTTTCCTTGATTTGTTTTCTTTTTGATATGCGACCGAGTGTTCATCGATTTTTCATCGACCTTATATTAGAGTGAAATACTACTGTTTTAGCATCATTAGAGGATAAATGTAGGTTTGAATTATAGAAATTGGATCAGTGGGGGGATAGTATCAAATGTTTGTCGAAATCAGTGATTTTTGGGGGTGTAAAAGCTTAAAAGAAAACCCTGGAGTTGAGAAAATAGAGAGGAAAGATACAAGTATGAAGCCGACAAAGAAAAGTGAGAAGGAAACGATGAAYAAAAGAAATGAGATGAATTGAATGAAAGAAAAAAGAAACGAAAAATGGAATTTCGAAGGAAGTCGGGGGAAAAGGAAGGACAGGAAAAAAGTATGTGTGAGAGAAAGAATGTTTTATTGGATTCTCTTATTATTCTGGACACACAAAGTAAAAGTTAATTAAATCCAGGCTGCAGCTCACAGCTACGCAAATAGTTGAACAACACAAAACTTTATTTGTATATTTCCATTACTCACTCAACAATAAGTACAAATTATCTGAAGTTTGCATCTTACTCTTCAAGCAACGAAATACGAACTGTCTGAAGACAATCTCACTAAATATACAGTGATGCAACTTGATAGTATAATCACGTTTTTTTGTTGCACGTAAAAAAACTGAACGTTTTACGATTTCCACTTAATTCTGCAACATTCAAACTTCATGGAAGTAGGATATCTTTCTTTCCTTTTCCAAGAGTTTGTATCATAACCTCTAAAACATATTTCGAGTTTCGATAAAATTAAAATAACCACAAAAAAATAGGCGATAAGATATGTAGCCGATAAATGAAGGGTCGCTTTGAGGACCACTAAAGTGATAATAATATTAATATAGTTCATCTTGTAGATAAAATACTTTAAAGTCTAGTACTTGTTGAATCAGTAACCATCCAACAATCACGCCTTTGACCAAAACAACAGATATTTTAAAACTGGATTCTAACGGAACTGAAAATCCGCCATTATTATTATATGCTAGTAATTGTTTTACTTGATTACAGTAAATATGTCTTCGTAAGAATATTTAGCGCAAAGTTTAATGATACGTGCGCGGTTCAGACGTCAAACTCTTGTACCTTTGAGTGGATTAAAATAAAGATGGTGCGGCACTCTTTGATCTAGATTATGTACTGGACCAAAATTAGATCCTGTGGGACTCCTTCGTCAGATGGATTACTAAATATTGAACTAAGAAGAGGATTTCCGTCGGAATCTGCAGGAATAATCGCTATGAATGGGAAGAGAACAACATAGTTGGCATTATTTTCGAATATAAAAGTTAAACGTCGTAGTATAGGCAAGATCAACTTGTAAAAACAGAGATTTCACGTAAGATTTCACTAATCGGAAGAACTATAGGTTTTTGTTTTCTTTGGTTATCATGAACGTATTCAGCGTAAAAAAGTACGACTTTTGAGCCTGTTGATTGATTGTTTTTAGGCTGTGTAGATGGTAGATCATAATCTTACACCGGTAGCACTATCTTCAGTAGACCCTACGGTCAGTGTGCGCATCTTAATCTTAACTCAAAATATTGAATAGTATCTTTTCCCTAAAAGAGGAAAGAAGTCTTTTTTATTTCTTGAGGGACATTTTCTGGTTTCTTAGCCGGGTCCAGGTTCTCTGGCTTGCACGAGACCGCAGCTCTAAGAAAAAGTCACTACACTTTCGCGTTGTATACGTTTATGAATTTGATTTATGAACGACTTTATAAAATCTGAAGTAGAGTTAATTTGATTGGCTAATCACAGTGAATGACAGGTCAGGTCACTACTCGTCTTCCGGTATCTCAGCCCAGGCCTCCTCAGCTAATACATAAAACTTATTAGCAAGTTTTCCATTCATAGCTGCCATAGCTTCATCTCCAGCCTTGGAGTAAAGTTCTCCAGAATAAGATGGGTCCTTTTCCAGTCCATAACCTCCTGACAGATAGAGCTCAGCCTGCCTGGCTAGTAACTTGTAGGTGGGATCTGTCTGTAGGGAGTTTTCTGGATCATCGTCTTCATCCACTACATCTATTGCATTCTGATACCATTTGACGGCAGCAGACCACGATCTTGTCCTTATATCAACAAACAAGAAATACAATAAATACACTGAATCCCAATGCTATCTGTGAGTTTTTTTATACCCTGACTTATTCCGGCGATCAGCCCCAAGTTTGTTCTAAGCCGAGGGTTTCCTTCATCCAAGAAGCTAATCCCATTTTCTTTTGCTTTCTTTCGCCTATAACGTTTTCTATTCGAATCCGTAACAGTAATAGTCTAGATATAGTAAATATATTTTCTCATTTACAAGTAATGTAAAAGTTGATTTTTGAGCAAGGAGGAAAACACTCAAGTAAATAGAACACTCTAAAGAGATGTTTTGCAGTTTATAGTGGTTCTGTAGACTTTCTCACACGGCAGCCATTTTAGCTTGAACAATAGGTTTCCCCCGCGTAGCCTCGCATTCAAGCACTTCAGAATGAGGTTATGCGGGTTTAAAGAAGTAAACCTTGGGCCGTGTGATCAAGGTCTTTTCTACTCACATTTTAGTCCCCAGACCATTGCCAGTGTCATATGCTTTAGCCATGTACATCATCGCTTGACGCTCTCCACCTATTGCAGCTCGTAACATGTATTCCACACCTTTATTTGTATTCTCCTGGTAAATAAACACTTTTCATTTCAGTATACTATGTAAAATAACTTAATGTGTTATAATAGTTTTCTGTTACTATACCTCAGCTGTTAGTAACGGGAAGGTGTCATGGGGTAACTGAAGGTATATCTCAGCCATCAGTAACAACGCTTCAGGAACATTACAAGTTGCTGCTTTTTCCAAGTGATACATGGCAGACTCCATATCTGGTTCCTTGTCTGTGAACCTTCCAATCTCATTGTATTTGGCCATTTCAAAGTGAACCTGTATTGATAGAAAAGTACGCTTTATGTCTTAAAAAACAGCGCACAATGAAAGATCCAGAACGTTTGTAATAAGGGGATAATAAGGGGATGGTGGTAGTTATCTAGAAAGCCTGAAAATATAGTTTCCTCTTTAGATTTTACTTTTTTCTTTATTTTAATTACTCCAACCCACCAACGGGGGGTGGGGTGGGGGGGGTGGGGAGTGGCTAGCTGTTCAATACACCCCCTGCATCAATCAAGAACAGTAACTTGTGGCACCAGTAACTCATACACTATTCATAATTAGATAAAAAGAGATAGTTATCATAAATATGTACAGCCACATACCTGTCCTAAAACAGAAACACTTTTTTGTCGGAGCAGTTTTTGTTGATGTTCTTGACGCACTTTTTCCAACGCTTGAGCTTCAAAGCACACACTTGATGATTTATGAACCATAGAAGCTGCAAAAAGTCTCCTTGCTTCTTCTTCATCCTGTTTAAAACCAAGCAGTAAAATTACAAAAAATATCACCCATTGTGCATTTTGGGCTTGGTATGCAACATGCTACTAAACCTTTACCAACTTTTTTTGAAAAAGTATGTATATTACACCTAAGAGGAGCTACTATGATATAATCATGTCTGTATCCACCTGTCAGTCAGTTTTATGTATCTCGTAAATCAATGGACAATGCTGTAGCAGTCATATTAACTATCACCCATTTTTTCGCTTACAAATCAAGATATTTGAACACAACAGCTGCCTGCTATTTACTAATGTGTAAAAAAGGTTCTAGATATGTCACATGTAGACATCCCTGCAAGCTAGATACACCTACCTCGCTATTCTCAGTAAAAACATCACTGTTATCACTTTCAGTCTCTGAAGTATCAGAGTCTGACAGCTTGCCTTCTGTCCATGATGATATAGATACAAATGGAGATGTTGGGGACTCTGGAATCTCAACCTCCCTTGGGGAAGTGGGTGGGGATTCTAGGATTTGGTCAGAACCAGGGGATTGAGGGGGAGAATTAGCCATGCAGTGAGACTGCAAATCAAAGATTGCTGACATCTTCCTTGGTGAAAACTGTTCTTCAAAACTGCTCTTCACTACAGTTTTTGAGTCTTGGATGGATTGTAAAGATTTTTTGATTCTGTATTCTTCTTTGTCACTGACTTCAAATTCAGTGAGGCCCAAAGTCTTGCATATGCTGTGGAAAGTCCAATTTAGTAAACATTTATAAAACAAAAAGGAAAGTATTCTAGCTTCATTTTACTATCGTATGTTATGCTGAGAAAAAGATTCTTACTAGTAATTTTAATTCTGCACACTTTAATTTGATCAAATCCTTGGCTAATCTAAGCCAGGGTAACACTAACTCAATTGGAATTTACCAGAGTCCTGGACTAAATTTTAGGCAATTTCACTCGTTTTTTCCTTTTTCTTACTTTTCTTTGTGGTCAGTCCTTAATAGGTTTTGTTCTTATACTTTTACATTGACCCCCAAGGCTTGATACATACTCAAAGGCACTTGCTTACAATCATGAAAAATAGTTAGTATGAGGTGTAGGCACTGAGGTTGGTCACCACAAGGGTTTTTTTATGTCCTCAGTGGATGTTTTCCTTCCCTCTGATACTGGTTAGTGACGATGAAGTGTGGAAAGATGTCACCTAAGTGAAAGTATAACCATTTGCAGATGTAATTACAAAGTCCGCACTTTCTCCTCATTTATCTTAAGACCTTTAGTGTTGGTCCAGCTGGGAATTGGACCACAAACTTCTGCACAACAGACCCATGCTCTTACCAACTGAGCTAGCCAGGTGCCAATAACAATACTGATATATACATGCATGGGTATATCTTACCTGTTGCACATGTGGGTACTAAAGAATAATGCCATTCCACTAGGGCCTAGGTTAGCTTCTCCATACTCCTTACTATCAGCGGTGTGTATTTGAGGGTCAGTGTACAGATCACCAACACCTAGCAAACAAATACATTATACATTAAAATACAAGTGGACGGGCTTTGATTTGCTGTAGTGTGGCGTGACATGGTGTAGTGCAGAATAATATAGTACAATGCTGATTTTAGTGTGGTATTACACTGTCAGTGTAACTAACACAAAGAATCCCTGATACCTTACAGTTTGATATGTATAGTACAAACTGTGAGGTGTGTACAGCATTACCTTGAATATCGACAACTATCATTTGATGACCAGATCTCTCAAAAGTAAAATGACTAAAAGCCTGAAAAGAAATAAAATACTGATTAAAAAAAGTAAAAGAGGAGTGAAAATACAAAAGCAAGAATGAGCAAATGAGTAAATGAGTAAATGAATAAATAAATAAATAAATAAGGCAAGAAAGAATGCATAGTGATTGATAGACCTTTCTTGAATTTGATCAAGTGACTTTGAATTGATGGCTCCATGCCGAGGATGGACTTGATGTGTTTGTATATTTTCTTCGACCTCAACTTGGAGCCATTGCTTCATGATCACTCAAGGGAATGCAGAGGTAAATGTCATACCTGAGGTGTTGATCTTAGTGTTTCATCTCTAAGTACAAAGCCAGAATTAGAGTTGTACTTCTTGTACACTCCTTCAATGTAGTGCTCCAGATGATATAGAGGTGAACCAACCCTTTCTTTTAACTCAATGATGTAAGTTTGGAAAATGTCCACCTGAAATGAAACCTATCATTAGGCCAACTAGTACTCAATTGTAACAATCCAGAGAAATGGTAAACAGTAAGTGTCATGCCTTCTTAGGAGGGTCTCTTCTATTGTACTCTTCTCCCCACAGCTTGGCATCCATCTGCAGTCTGACATCATCAAAGTATTGCTCTCTCTGAACCTCTTCAATGTAGTGCTTGGCAACATAGTTGGATGCATGTTTCCAGTCCATGTGCTTGGAAAAGTTTGACAACTTTTTCCTTTGAATAGGAAAAAAAACTTGATTAGGAACTATTCAAATGTTTAAAAATACCATTATAACACACACACTTATCTCAAAATTGTATTACTTACAATCTGTAGCAAACTCTCATGGCTCCCTGGTCAAATGGCTAGATAATAGAAATAATACTATGTTATTATTCTATTGATTACAATTGCATACAGGTGTATAGTGCCACTGACTCCAGTACTTACTGCTGATTCCATTTTTACTCTCACTTCATCTTTGACCCATGTTTTCTTCAGCGCATTGTAGCGATGTCGTATTGCTACTTCCTGTGAACACATATCCAAGTGAAACTTCTCCCAAGGATCCGGCATATCCATGGCTTTCTTCAAAGCATGTTTCCAGTTGTTCTGATGTGAAAATCTGGCATGTTTTCTGCTTTTTGTTGTTGTCTTTGAGGTGACTTCTTCATTCTTTGGCTTTTCCTCTGCAATTATCTTGACTTCTTTTTTTTCATTGATGTTGTCTTCTTTATCTTCTGGTTCTTTATCAAATTCCAAATCAAAGCATTGCTCRTCTGAAGAAGTGCTAATTGAACGACTTGTACTGTTAATCTTCCTGTGATGACCATGACTCCCCCCAACACCAGTAGGATTTATCCAGAAATCATCAACATCATCATCATCATCATGTTGATACTCTCCATTACCATTGCAAGAGTCTTCGTAACTGTTTTTCAAACCATTACATGTTGAAGAACTATCTAAATATTGAAACAAGCCAGAATCATAGTGTAAACAACTGGAGAATAGGGAGTGCACGAGGGTGGGATGCCTTCCTTCTTAAACCCAATCAAGCACATTAAGCTAAGCTTGAATTTCAAATTAACATGAATTCATTTCATTTTTTTTAGCATCCTATTGTATGGATTTAATTAACTGTACAGCTAGCTGATTGATTACTTGTTGAATGTGTGGGCAGTAGTATTCAAGAAGGATCATCAATATGCCCCCACTTCCAYCCACCCTTCTGATAATCCTAGATGCATATCACTTAAGATATCTTACAAACTATGACATCACATCACCACAATCTATTGTCTTAATGCTTAAGATACTGGTCACCAGAGGAGAAAAAATAGCAGCAACACAAATTAATTAACTCACAATAAAATTTTGTTTTAGAAATGGTGAAAAGTGAGAACAGATGAATATTACACTATAAGTATCTTGAATAAAAGAAGATTTAGTCTAAATTTCTATTATTCTTGGCCATGCAAACAAGCTGTGACATCAAAGTGTTATTATTACTATTACTACATTCATATTAATGGTGATTTTCTAGCACTGATTGAGTCAATCTTTATGACCCCGTGGTGATTATAAATATTTAAAATATCTAAATTCTACCTACAGACAACCACCTAAATACAGCTGCACAGTAAAGGTGTACATTTATGATATTGGTGTTTATGTACCACTATATCAACACCACTTGTATATGCCCCAGCACTTAAATGATTGATATTATCATCAACACTGGAATATCGAATGACAAGAAAAATGTCTAAACTACACTATGAGCATAAGAGAAACCCCTGCTGGTGAATTATTGCATGAAAAGAATGAATTATATAAAGCAATGAGTTTTTTTTAGCTTTTAGATATATTTATTAAGACAAAGAAGTGTTTTGTTTTGAGACAATGAAGCAAGCTATGATCATTGAAGGTGGACAAAGTTCACAAACAGTTAACACGTACATACAAAAAGACTCGCAACAAACCCTTCTTGGATAAAGGGATAAATGCTGAATACAGTCCTTAGTGCATCTTACTATAATTATAATAAGGAAAACGCAGTATTTCCTGCTGTATATGAACACTTACCTGCCACACTTCGATAACAAATCAATATTATTTTTGGAAATCATCAGTGAATGTGAAATTTTATATCGTTAAAGCTAGCTCCCTCAGCTGGGATCAATAATGTTTAGTAGTTAGCTTCTCACTTAAAGAAAGAGTGATTGAACAAATTATACCTGAGAAAAATCGTAGGAAAGGAAAGTAAATAAATCAACAATAACAGCTGTTTTTCTTACCAACATCTTCCACATCACAACTCGCCATTTTCTCTCAGCTGAGACCAAGGCGGAAATGAGAATGAGCTAAAAATGCCTTCTGCGTGTTTTTAGGATGTAATTACTTTAGAAGTGACAGACTTCTAAACGTACGAGGAAACATCTTTAGACTTTTGCTCAATGATAAAAACAATAATCCAAACCTGCAGGAATGAGTTGGAGAGGAGGGTCTGGGGAAAACCACAGGTAACCCAAAACTGTGCCCAACACAGTGACAACAGCCTACAGGGACRAAACGCTCTTATCCTCTTGAGAAACTGGAGATATTAAGTTTATTCGTGAATAATGTTCATATAGATGCATCTTTCTTAGCATTACCATTAAATGGCAATTTCATTATTTATATCATGTGAAAAGGTGCATTTAAAAGAAATCATCAGTTCAGTCATGATCAGTTACCTACAAGAAACTGAATGTTTTCAGTTTCTCTCTAGCTATTAGCAAGACTGAAGCCTTTTTACTGAAATCTTGCAAATATTAAATTAATATTTTTTACATGAAAAATATATAGGGGGCTATTTATATGCTAGGAGGTCCGTACAGGTAAAAACTGAGCAGGAGGTCCTGAATCTATCCTCTGAGGGCAGAGGGTTTTCTCCCATCCAGACTGACTTTAGGATAGTAAATAACTTATTTGTTTTTCCCCATTTACTTGTTAACTTGTTCCACAATTTTAGTTGTTCTTTAGCAATTCATTATCCCAGGATACCAGAACACAATCAGAGATATAAAATACTAACTACAATACCAACTAAGGGACTGATCGTTTACTAGTCACAGAAGGGGAGGGGGGTGGTG